TGCTGTTATGTTATGGAGAACAAATATGTCATCTTAAAAACTCAATTCACAGGAACTCTAATGGCTTAATAATTACCTTACTCCCTAATGTTGGGAATTTGTTTCACTCCCCGGTAGCTTAAGGTCCCTAACCTACACTTCTCTTTTTTATGCCCTTGATGCTTACTGAAGTGCCTATTATCACCCCATTTAATTAGTTCAATAGTCTCCAGTATTATTCTAAGGAGTTTTATTTTTCCATGACTTATCTTATTTATTCCATCTATGGAATATATGGCTAGCACGAAGCTACAGCACCTCCATCACAGAAACTTAGTAATTATAATAAAAACAACAGTAATAAAAGTTGAACTACTTCCCTGTTTTCTGTTCTTTTTTTTGTTGCAAATCTTTTAAATATCCAAGTGTATATTTAAATAGAGGACTGATACTGATTAGGCTAACATACAGGCTTACAGTGGACTGTACTAGCAAAAGTGGGCTCCTTGATTTATCCATTATAATAAAAAAAAAACTTTCCTGTAAGTGTCTGGGAGCTGATTTTTCCAAAGGTTTGAAGCTTGGTGAAGTTTTCATGATTTTCCAAACAAAAGGAATATTCTTAGCCTATGGAATTCACCTTCTACATAATACAAAGTCTTCAAATCATACAAACACTGGAGCTCACAAGGACAAGTAAAATATCTTCCCATACCAACTACCAGAAGTGCTTCATTTTTAGTTGCTTTATTTTTTTTCTCATTAAAAACAAACAAACAAACCAATAACAAAAAAACTCACCTGAAAAATCATAAGCTTTTACTGGCAGCAGTCCTAGCAAACTGCCTAACAAAAATCATACAGTGAGGTAAATGTGCACTTTTCAACCCAGTGAAATAAATTTTAGTCATATGAGCAATAGAAAACTGGTTCTTATGAGTGGAGATATAGGTCATCTTACTCAGTGGTGAAGACTGCAGATTATAATGGTGTAACCAGCGATATTTCCTGCGTGTTGCCCAGGAGTTTTGCTGTATTTAGTGAATAAACATCTTGGATATTAAAATAATACTTGGTGATTTCACTGTTTCATACAATAGTGTGAGTCTGATGGTCAAAAATAATACTGATTTTGATCTAAGATTATTGATCCACTAGTTTCTTAGTGTATGTCTTTGTGTCACTGTGGATGAGAGCATTCTGGGGACTGTATCCAGCAAAATGGAGTGGGAACCTGAGAAGTGACAGCAGGTAGAAGAAAATTGCAGGAGGAAGGTGATGAGGGCTTAGTCAAGGAGAACTGAGCAATGGATGTCAAGAAATGCCTGAGGAATAAAAAATTGGGAAGGGGGATAGTAACCAAAAGGTTGGTGGTGAACCAGGTCACTTATGGATGGTAGGATATGTCTAGTGTTGAGTGGAGGAGTGGAGAGAACTGTTTCTATCAACAGGGAAGAAAAGTGAAAGACTGAAAGAATTTATTGTGGGGGTAATATGCAAATTGGATGATGCATATTCATTGCTCTGCAAAACAGCACATGAGGACATTTGCATAAAACCTTTTCTGCATTTACAACTTAAGTAGGTATCTCTCTGATGGTAAAGAAAGGGGAATAAATGATCTACGTTAGTGACACTGGGACTTGGGGACTCAGAGTTCAAAGCTCAGCCAGAGCCAGCAGCTTATCCTTTGCAGGTACCGGCACACATCTATCATTCTGCATGTAGCTTCAGAGGAAAATATCTGAGCAAATGAGAGAGGAAGACACTTTCTAGGAGCAGTAGTTCTGCTCTCCACCTAATTTATTAACAGTAAAAATAGCATGGCTTCAGAGCATTTGGAGCTGCTTTTGCAACCTCAAGTGCACAGGGAGATTCTCTTATCGCTCCTTCATGTCCCTTATTTCCTACCCTGTCACTGCAGTTACTTATCTGTGGCAACAGGTTTTGCAGTCTATCAGCTGGACAACACTGGTGCTTCTAAGCCTGAGGTATATGAAACTGAGCAGTGGGCTTTCTTATAGCTGACATGTAATGTGGGATAAAAGACACTTTTTTGTCACAGGGCATTGTACTTGAAGGCTTTGTAATGTGCCTATTATAGTAAATTCATTTATGCTGCCTTTTGTCACAGAGTAACAGAATGGGTAGGTTGGAAGGGAACACAGCAGGTCATCTGGTCCAACCTCCCTGCTCAAGTAGGGTAATCCCAGAGCACATTTTACAGAATTGTGTCCAAACAGATCATGACTATCTCCAGTGAGGGAGACTCCATAATCTCTCTGGGTAATCTGTTACAGTGCTCAGTCACTCACACAGTAAAGAAGTTCTTTCTCATATTTAGGTGGAACTTCCTGTGCATTGGTTTCCACCTATTGCCTCTGGTCCAATTGCTTGACAACACCAAGAAGAGCCTGGCTCCGTCTTCTTGACATGCTCCCTTACAGACATTGATGTGGTCCTCTCTCAGTCATCTCTTCTTGAGACTGAACAGGCCCAACTCCCTCAGCCTATCCTCATAAGGGAGATGCTCCAGTCCTCTAATTACCCCAGTGCCCTAGACCCTCTCCAGAAGCTCCCCATCTCTTGTGTACTGAACTAGATGAAGGGGCAGATGCCTCTTCAGCAAGTTCACTGATGACACCAAGCTGTGAGAAGTGGCCAATACCCCAGAGGGCTGCAAAGCCCTTCAGAGGGACCTCGTCAGGTTGAAGAGATGGGCAGAAAAGAAACCACATCTGAAATTCAGCAAAGACAAATGCAGCACCCTGCACCTGGGGAAGAATAACCCCAGGCACCAGTACAGGCTGGTACAGCAGAATGACCTGTTGGAAGGCAGCTCTGCAGAGAAAGACCTGAAGGTCCTGGTGATCAGCAAGCTGTCCATGAGGCAGCAGTGTGCCCTTGTGGCCAAGAAGGCAAATGGTATCATGAGGTGTTTTAGGAAGAGCAGTGCCATCAGGTGAGGCCACATCTGGAGTGCTGTGTCCAGTTTCCCTCATAGCTTTTTATTTTCAGTATTGCACTCCATGTTTCATTAGGTTTAAAGACCTGTTCAGCACCTCTCGGAGTAACCTGTGCCGGTGTTTGGTCACCATCACAGTGAAAAAAAGTTATGTGATGTTCAGATGGAGCCTTCAGTTTGTGTCTATTATCTCTTGTCATGTCACTGAGCATCACTGAAAAGAGTTTGTCTCTGTATCTTTGCACCCTCCCTTCAGGTATTTACCCACATGGAGGAGATCACCCTGAACCTTCTTTTCTCCAGGTTGAAGAATTCCAGTTCTCCCACTTTTAACTCTCATGTGAGGTGCTTCATTCTCTTAATAATCTTAGTGGTCTTTTTCTGGACTCTTTGTATATTCTTTTGTATTGAAAAGTCTAGAAATGGACATGGCACTCCAGGTGTGACCTCAACTCTCTTGACCTATGGGCAACAGTCCTAATGCAGTTCAGGGTACCATTTACCTTCGGTTCCTTTGCATTTACCTTGTTGAGCTTTGTGAGGTTCTTGTCAGTCCATTTCTCAACCCATTTCTTGACCTCTATTGAGGTCCCTCAGGATGGCAGCATATCACCTCACATTTTTGTGCAATCTGTGAGCTTTACCCCATCATCCAGATCATTCATTTTTTAAATATGAATTTTCAAAGATTACACTGGAAAAATAGGAATATATATAAATATATATAAACTAATTTTATTCATATGATCCACAATATTTCATCAGTTATTAAGTTATTTCTTAATGTAGTCATACCTACATTATTTGTAACCCTGCAACTGAAATACCTTTGGATAGTAGTAATTTGCTGTAATTATTCTTCAAATATTTCTACCGTTAGGCACAGTTCTGAAGATATGGCAATTGGATTTTAAAATACTCCTTCTAAAACATTAGTGAACAAGGTTAATTCTAACACAGACAGTTGTGTATGCAAAAGCAGGTTACTGAAATTCTCAATGACCTGAATACCTTAGTCTTGGTAACATGCCTCAAGGAATCCCAGCAGGAGATAATTCATTGGCAGCAGGAAGCATTGGTATTGGAACATGGGATTTCTTGTGGTATAAATCCAAACCTTTGGTAACACAAAAAACTGTGTATTGTTACTAAACTGAAAGTGCATTTAAAAACCTCCATCCTTTGATACAGGCACTACCACTTTTCAGAGATTATGCATAGCTCCAAAACTAAGCATGTTCCATTTTTTCGTAATGCAAAAAGACAGAGATGTATGTGTTGAGACTTCTCAGTTGAAAGCAGGGGTAATTGGATTTGGAAATAAACCTGTTATGGTTTCCTCACGTCTTCAAGTTTGCTGAATTTTGTGCTGTTACTGCCAGAGAGCAAAGCCAGCATTAGAAAGCTAAGGAGAGCAAGATTTTATTTTTATAGAAATTTGCAACAGTATTTTCCTGGTTTTCTGTACTAAAAACTTGGGATTTTCTGTGCATTTAATGGATTTCTCATTATCATGGTATTTTTTAAGAAGTTGCCTCGTGTGTACTGAATCCATATTGAATTATTTTTTTTTGTTTCAATTATTTCTTTCCCGTTTAGCATGCGTTTATTTATTTATTTATTGCTTGGTTTTATGCCAAATTACTATCCTTTCCCTTGGCTGCCTTGCAATTCAGGTCTCATTTATCTGTAGGTCTGTTCTTCTGCTGTTAAAAATCCTTTATCTCCTGCACAGCTTATTTTCCCCTGTGCTCATCCTGGCCTCCCCTGTTGATTACATTTATATTATACATTCTATTTGCTTTAGCATATATATCCAAACATGCATAGTCCTTGCATTTCATTGATCTCTATATTCACATTCTAAAAGTATTTTTGCTCCTTATGCAGCTTTTTATTCATTTCTGACCAACCAATTTTTCAGGGTAGACATTACTACAACCTTTGATGGGGCAATATCTCTAGAGACTTTGGTGCAGCAACAGAAGAGCTCACTAAAAACAGTTCCTTGTAGAACCCTTGCAGGAACTGAAAAATATGTTTTAGACTTTTTAATTATGTAATAATCTATCCCATTCAATGTTGCAATAATTGTGACCATTACTAATAGATAGTTTTGGTAAACAGAAGATAAATGTGCCAATTCTTACTCCTGACAGAGGACAGATTTACTTCCATGATGATGGCTGTGAGTCACACCCCTTTGGCCGTGATGGCACACAGTTGTTGAACTAGGCATAAGGAAATATTTGTGATCTAAGTCATAGCAGGTGGTGATGGAGGGTTAGTTTTTTTTCCTTTGTGAGTTTGTTTACACGTGTAAGGGTGGAGAGAGACTTTAGGGGTGGAGTTACGCTAAGGATACACTGAAATTGAACGAGAACTGTATTTTTTTCTGCCTCATGTGATTTATAGAAATGTGTTTAGTATCTGCAGAAGGTGGGGCTTTGCAGGTACTGCCTATAGTTTATCATGTGGTTTTAGCTAGTGCAGAAAGGAAGGAGTAAACTGAATGACAGGCACACTGCATCTGCCCTACTTCTGCCATTTCAAACACCTCTGCTTTTGCCCATTTTAGACCAGTCTTGTGAAGCTGCTTTTGATGCACCAGGCAAATCCCAATCTTCTTAACTGCAATAATGAAAAGCCTTCAGGTAGGTGAAAATCCATGTGCATTATGCATGTATTAGTTACTGTGACTCTGTTTTCTTTCCTTCCTGTTGTCTTGGTTATTCTTTATTTAGTGTGTAGAGTTAAATACACATACAGATGTTTGTATATGTTTTTACATATATTGCTGAGAACTGCTAGTCATGGTAATGCAGGATATCATATCAAATGACAGCATGTTCTTCCACTTGTTGCATTCCCTGTTTATTTTTAACTATGTTTATTGACGGAGAGTTCTTCAATGCCTTGGTGGTAGATGCATTTATACATTCTTGGTGACTTCTCTCCAAATCCCTTTCTGTCTCAACTGGTCGTAATCCATAGCCTCATGAACTGGAATTTCTATAGCTGTTGTCTGAAAACAAATTCAACAAACAGTTTTAAAGTGTAGCGCCCCTTGTTTACCGCAGAAGGCACCTTCTTAGACCAGATAGCAACAGGGAGCTGAAGCACTGGCTCTAAAGGTAATAGAATTATAGACTGTATTAGGTTGGAAGGGACTTCTGGTCAACTGGTCTAACACAGAGCAAAGCAGAGCTAACACCAGTAGTGTTAGCTAGGAGAGCTGAAAAGAAACACATGGTGGTTCAGTCTTCACTGCCTAGGATAAATTGAAGATGGTACCCAGTAATGTAGAAAACAGAATCTTTCTGTCAGATTATGAAGTGTAACTTTCTTTTCTTGAGAGACCATGGAGAAAAAACTCCAGGCCAATGTAGTATATAAAATAAAAAAGCAGGCCCTTTAATCAGGCCCTCAGCCCCAGGGGAATACATGCTATAGGTTCACCCAGGCAGTGGTTCTAAAATTCTATAATAAGGTCCATCCACTCCCAGAACTATCCACCCCCCAGTTCTGCCCAGAATTTTCTACAATTCTACCTTGAAAAGAAGACTAAACACACTAAAAGAATTTAGAGGTTTTGATATGAAATGAGGTAACAGAGTTGCATATGTGTAAACTACTGTGCTAAAGGGTGACATATTATACAGCTACATTAAAATCTACATTTACTACACAATTTCTTCTAAAATCTACAAAAAGCTAAAAAATCCAAAAAACTCTGAGGCATCAGTATAATAAAGCAAAATGTGTTATGCTTCAAGTACTGTACCACCTACAAATACATTCTCAGGGAACATCATGACACTTAAACCTCAGAAACCTTGTTTGTGGTTAATTACATGCTGGTTTGTATTTGTTTTAAAGGGTATGGACCAAATTCAGATCATCTAACAATACAGTTAGGTAACCACAATTAGTATGTATTTAACACAGTTGATTTCAGCACATCTGTATGTACAAGATGTATAAATCTAGTTTGTAGAAATATAAAACATTTGAAAAGGATTTAGGTGCATATTTTGATTGAAATACCATGTTGGAAAGGGTTGTATTGTTTTTCCTGAAGTCCTATGAATTATTGAAAGCTTTGGTTCACTACATAGCAAGAATGGTTTTGAGGTTTTGCAGATGACAATTTTAAGTCTGTACTAAGTTTACTTTGCCTTTGTTTCCCCAGTAATTTCAAGTATTATTTTATGATCAGTATCTGAGCTATTCTTTTCATGTTATCTAGCCAGATGTCTAATCTTAGTCTGATCTAGAGACTTAAATTCAAAGGAGCTTTTCTGCACCATTTTCTTTTTCTGATATCTTGGTGTTCCAATGTCTCAGATGTTGCAGCTTCTGATTTTATTGAAGAAATGCTTATGAAGGCTGAAATTGTTTGGGAGGAAAAAATGAAAGACCCTTTAGCTGTTTCTGCTTTATCTCAAGAAGAGCCATACGAAGAGATCATCCATGATTTGCCCACAGTTTCCAATAAACTGTAAGTGCTTCTATTGTTACAGAGCAATTCACTGGAGCCAAATTATCATTTGAAGGGTATCTGTCAATCTATGAATTCTATGAATGTCCTTGAAGATATTCAAAACACATCTGGACACGGTTCTGGGAAACTGGCTCTGCATGTCTGTGTTTGAGCAGGATGATTGGACCAGGTGCCCTCTAGGAGGTCCCTGCCAACCCCAACCATCCTATGATTCCATGAGTCTTGTGATTTGATGGGTCAAGTAACTCTTTCATTTTGAAAATCTGCTGAATCATCTTTTGTGTTTGTACCTCTCATATGTTTTTGTCAACCTTATTTCTATAAATATAAACTATTGGAAATAAAATACGTTATTATAATAGCCACTAAAAATTGTCTAGGGTTGCTTTAGCAGAATTATTAGACTCGAATATCCTTTTATTAAAGTAAATGGGAATAGTGTAGTACTACACTACCCTTGCCTGTGAGAGAAGCAGGGACAAGTCCTGAGAATAAAAATAATATATATGATTACAGATGAAATTATACTGGTCTAAGCAGTTAGAAATTTGTATTTAGATTTGTGCTGCTTAAAATTCAAATGGAATCAAGCAGAATTTAGCAGTGTGGACTTAAAAATTGGTATTGAAGAGTCAATTTGTCTTAAGTTGTAGATTTTGATATTGTTTGTATTTCCTTGTGAATCTTAAGAAATACTGTCGTAGCTACGTGAAAATATGTATGAAGCACTGTTTTATGGTAGTACAAGACATATTGATATTTCGAATTCTTATTTCCAGATACTGTGATCCATGGGAATTTTAAGAAGTACAAAGAATGTCTTTATGCAGTATGCAATTGCTGTATATTTGAAGCATGTTCGTTGCATAAGTTTGCAAAACACTGATACTGATTTTTATGTAGTAATCACCAAAGATTGTGTGAGGAAAAAAGAATTAGTAAAACCTCTTAAGAGAGACAGAGACGATATATATATGTTTCCATTTCATTAAAGTTATAATTTATGGTCAGCAGAATGTATTTGGATACATTAAAATCTGGAATAGGTTAGCAACTGTCATGAAATGATCAATCTGTTAAATTCAGAATTCCAGGGAATATATTTATATTTAGTAAAGATTGCATATTTCATGGATAATAAACATGGTGTGTTGTTTCTGCTTCATCATTTTCAGTCACTAATGTATGTAACTGGGAGTATTATACTAATGTTTATGGAATTAATAATTTCTCATGCTTGTTAATTCCTTATGAAATAAGCAGTCCTCTAGTCTAACCCAATGTTTCAATAACTTAAATCATGGTCTTGAAATTTATGTGGCCTTCTGTTATCTTCTAATGAAAAATTTTAATTTTGAGGTATGAAAGTAAGCCTTTAGATTCTCAAACATAAAGAAAACCTTTAATTTTTGAAATGTCATAATAGCAGAAGTAGAAGGTAGGTTTCCTTTAGCCAAGCATTGAGTTAGTATAACTGAATTCATGCTATCATGAAGCACTAATAGTATTACAATATTTCTTCTTGTTCTTTTACTGAGCTACTGAGTATTTTTTTCTATCTGATTTA